ATGGACCAGAGTAAATCGGGACAGTTGAACCGGTTTTTATTTTTCTGTTTTATACAATGCCTACAAAATACCAACGGAAGTTGAGCTCACTAAGAGCTAGATGGACCGAAGAGGACCTCAAAAATGCTGTAGAGGCTATAGATAGAAAAACAATGGGGTCAATGCCGCAGCCAGACACTTTAATATTCCCAAAGCTACTCTAATTGCAAGAAAAGCGTGGGGAGAACTAAAAAACTGGCTCATTGAGTTCTTCGCCTACTTTAGGAGAAGAAAATGAAGCGACGATAGTAGCACATGTAAAAAAGCTGCAAAAATTTGGTTTTGCCCCAACACGGAATGATATGCGACATACGATGTTTGCTGTTGCTGAACAGTTACCGTTGAAGCATCGTTTTAACGCAATCACAAAAATGGCAGAATACGACTCGCTACATCTTTTCCTAAGCCGTCATTCAGATCTTAGCATAAGCGTTGCTGAAGGTGTTTCATGAGTCGTGTACAAACTTTGAAAATATGTGCAATGAATGTCGCAAAGAAACTTATTAACTAAAAAATTTAAAAAAATTAATTAAGTTTAATTTTGTTACGGTTCATCTCTCCCTATGTGGTCCAACTGTCCCAAATTGGTGGTTCAACTATCCGGCAGATTTCGGGTTAGTTGGACCACATAACGGTTTTTTACTTTATTTTTTTTGTCAGCAAATGAGTTTTTAGTATTTAGTTACAGTTCTGATTGCAGTTAGTTAAAACGTTTGTGACAACATTTTTTTTCCGTCAATAAAGCTATTTTTTGTGAAGATAGAGTCGAATCAAAAAAGGTGGTTCATCTCTCCCGGAATTACTCTACGTAAAATATATAAGAGAGCATCCATCGAATACTAACTGGTAAAAGCTCTTACTTGGACGGGAGTGCTGGTCATTCTCTGGTGGGGCGATTGCATTTCTGCACTCTCTCGACTGGTAACCGATCGGTTAGGCGACTTTTCGCCGTTCTGCAAACCGGGGGGAGAAATCGCCCTGTTGCAGCTCAGGTCCTCACTGGAACCATTCAGCTCGCTATTGCTAAACGATGCTATCGATACGCTAGGATTGATATGATTGTTGCTTTCAGTGGGCGAAGAGGCAAACTGATTGGTGGCTTGATTATCCGTATTGGTGCTCATATTGTCGTCCTCTTCATCGTCGTCGTCCATACTTTCCTGCTCCGACCGTTCGTTCAGTTGAAAGTGCAGCCCGGATGTGGATATGGGCGATAATCCGGGCACCGAGAACCCCTGCCTTAGGAACGGATTCATGGAATTTGCCAGACTGGAAAATCCTCCCGATGACGGATAATCTCTTACTTCGGCCGCTTGGATTTGCTCCGGTGTGAGATCAGTGGGCTCGCCTGTATGTAGGCGGATATGTTGCTGCAGCACTGAAGCGTTATTGTACTTCTTATGGCAAACCGGGCATTGATGGAGGAGGCGCATGGGGGGCTTTGCTCGGTGCACCCCCATGTGAGTCTTCAAGTTGCCTTTTGTGGTGAAGGCCCGCCCGCAAATTTTGCACTTGAACGGCCTTTCCCCCGTGTGGGTCCTATAATGCATTTGCAGGGCACTTTTGCAAGATAGAACCCTTTGGCAAACCACACATTGATTTGGATCAGCTAGGATATGTTCGATGTTGTCCACCATCCGTTGAAGCTTGATCGTTTCTGAAGTTTTCGAAACTTCTATCAGGCTCTCCCAAGAATTATCGTTGCTTCCAGGCCTGGGCAGCAGGTTTGTGTAAAGGGCCGGATCTTTGGTGATATCACCAATAGCACTAGTCGGATACTGGCCCAGGCTCCCTGACGAGGTACTACTGGCAGGCGAGTTTTGAGGGTAGAAAGGAAAATTTGCAGGCAACCTCTGTCCGGCCGCAATGCTCAAAGCGGCCGATATCAGATTCGCTTTGCTCGACAAGTTCTCCGGCTCGTCCTGCATTTCGGAACGATCATCCGGGCTTCTTCGCTCCATGGCGTCCTCGTTGCTGAATCGGCTCTCATTGCTGCATAGCTCGAAGCCATTTGGGGAGCCGTACCTGGCTTGCTCAGCTTCTTGCTCATTCTCATTGTCGTTGGGCTCTTGCTTTGGGGTCATTCGCTGGGCGTTTGGCGACTCTTGAGGTTGCTGCTTCGCTTCGATGGTTCCCGTCTCGGTTCTGCTCTTGGGGCTGTCCTTTGGAGAGCACGATCGGTCTCTTCCTCTGGGGGAGGGGGGCTTGCGCAAGTCAGCAGGCGCTTCTTGGTCCTCCCGTTTAACCGCAAATGGTTGCGGGAAGAGTAGCCGATGCGGAGGAGTTCGACATGGCGGGATTCTGCTATTTAGCAGGTCCGCCGATGGCGGATTTGTGGGCCTGTAGTGCGGCAGGCACGTTGGAGGGAAGGGGGCTGCACTGGGAAACCCCAAGTGCGGAGGATGACCAGGGCCACCAGGCGATAAGGAGGGCTGCTGCCCCAGCTGTGCCAACAGCGGCGGATGATACTTATCCAAATGTTCCGGTACTGGATTGGGATTCATTTTGATATGAGGGAACTTCGAGCTGTGCCTTTGGAAATGCACCTTCAGATTGCCTTTGGTCGTGAAGCGACTGCCACATACGTTGCACTTGTACGGCCGCTCTCCCGTATGCGATCGGATATGAATCTGCAAAGCCGAATCGGAGCCAAACACTTTGCCACAATATCGGCACCGATGCTTGAAAAAGGGCTCGTTTCGGCCTTTGGAGTCATATGGAGACATCGAGCCTTTGCTCTTCCTAAACGCCAGTTCGTCTGCCAAGTTGGTGGCCAGCAAACCTTGACTGGCATTGTCCAGAACCTCCTGTGCACGCTTCTGCAACAGGTTCAGAGTGTTCGGCTCTTCAGCTGTGGGCGGATCGTTCCCATGGGTGATGATCGTCGAAGCCAGCGACGCTGAGATGGAACACATGGGGGCTTGCATTTGCAGAGGTAGATTTGAGGGATGAGTAACCTCCGGCCGGGTGAGTGGTAGTGGGGGTGGTGGTGGTGTGGGAACATGAGGTGGCGTGGCTGGAGTCAATCTAGCTACTGCTGGCGGGGAGGGTTCCGGCTTCGGGGTTGGGGAGTTCTCATCGATTGGGGAGCTTTCTCGCTCGTGTTCTGATGGCCCCGGCGACCCGCTCTGCTCGTCTTCTTTGGTTCGGTCAATTTGCAGCTGATGCTGCAGTTGATTGATCAGCTGCAGCTGAAACACCTGCTGATGCTGCAGTGTGAACAGCGTTGACTGGAGAACGGCTAGTTCTTGCAGAGCGACTTCGTTGTCCACGTTATTGGCAAGAGCCGTGGCAGCGAATTGCGCCACGGCCACCTTGGTGTTCTGCAAGGCTTCCAAAGTGACGTGCCCTTGGGCGGCTGGAGTCACAGGGAAAGGAAAGTCCATCGGGTTGTCCTCTGGTGAAGCTTCGTCCACGCTGTTGTTGTTCGCTGCGTCCTGCCGATGACGCCGCATCCGCTCCATTCGCTTCCCGCCGGCCTCCTCCTCCTCTTCGTCGTCCTCCGATACCACCATGTCCTCGGGATCGGAGTGAGCAGGATCGTCATGCTTGATGGCCTTCTTGTCGCACTCACTTTTGTGGGCTAAAAACTCGGCCACTTCAGTGAATTGCTCCTGGCATCGGGGACACATGAGGATCTCCGGCACTTCTTCGTCCACGGTGCCATCGAGTCCGTCTGAAACAGAACAGAGTTATTGAGAACAATGGAAAAAGCGAACACAAACCGGTAGAGCATCGCGCAAGAAGGTCGAGGAGCAATCGGTATCGACTTGGCGTGGCTCCGGATATTATAAAATGAAATATGAAAAGAGTGGGGCTAATATGAAGGGGGACTTGGGAGCAAGCGCGCGATATGATAAACGATGCAGCGAAGGACCAGCCACGGCTTCGGTTATGACAGGTGGGCGGCGCTTGTCGGCATAAATAACATGCACAACTTGTTGCTCTCTCGTGCTCCCCGCCCATGGTGAACGCCCAGATATTTCATAACCATAAAGCATAAATGTAAGTCAGTCAGTCCGAGGCGGGCGAGCGAAGGGACGGCTAGAGACGCCCGGGGTAGGGATTTACAACCTCCCGGCCACCGCTGTTTTAACGGCTCTTATTTACGTAAAAACCGCTGAAGCCCTTCACCGCTTTTGAATTTTTCTATTAGTTTCAAAAATTCTGCTGAGTCTTTTTTAGAGCAAGCTAATGCAAGGGACGATTTTAAGTCCTGTACCTACTAGGTGTTGATAAAGTATCTAAGTACGCATAAGTCGAAGATACCCAAAGTAGCCAATACCGAGGCGAAAGTGAAATACCCTATATATTATTGCATTTTTGGATTCTCTGAGCAAAATAAGTGTTTGTTTTACTAAGATTTATAATGTCTAAATCTAAAGGTTTTTTAA